ACACGCATACTTAAAATAGCAAAAATCATAATAGTGGAACAAGAATTGAACACAAGAAAGACATGCACCGCCACAAGATCTATCGAAAATTTAATAGTACTATTTCAGATCGACAAACGTGCGACCAATCTAACGATTAAAAGATATTCGAAAAAGCACACACACAATGATCTAACGCATACAATGACTAATCTGAACATGTGAATATGTCATCCAATAGCGTGTAAGATTTGAACACAACCGGTTGCCTGTAAACAATAACCCCCTAGCGCACCCACAAAAATTTTCCCCACCCGTGAATTTTGCCCAATCAAATTTCAAGATCAGGTGTAACATACACAAACGAAGCAAACCATTTTTTAAATTTTAATTAAGAAACACCTTCTGCGGCCTAATTAAAAATGTTCCTTGTGAAATTTTACTAATAGCAATAACCCTAACTTTAACCCTAACCTTACACTGTTCTCGCTCTAACCCTAATTATAACGCAATCACGGGAGGGGAACGCTACCTAAAATGTAAACCATACACTTCGTACTACGTTCCTGGTATTTTGGAGATTTTTTTTAATTCTATAAGTTAATAAAATTAAAAACAATTTTTTTTTTAATTTAGTTAGATAGTCGTTGAAGAAACTTCGCTAAAGTTTGAAAAAAAAAAGGTTAAAAATCTTGAAAAAAAAACTTTAGTAAAATTTCTTTTTTTTTCAACCTTAAGCGAAGATTTCTCAACGATTATCTAACCAAATTTGATGAAATTTTTTTATTTTAATTCTGCGTGTTTGTAGAACCGATAAAAAATTTTTTCGATTTTACAAACATGTAGAATTAAAATAAAAAAAAATTCATAAATATGATCATGTTTTCACCGGGAAATCTAGTTTAAAGTTAAAAAGAAATTTATTCATTCTTCTTTTTCTTGGACTCAAAATTTTATGCTGAAATTTAGATGAAGGCATGATCAATTTGATGAAATTTTTTTATTTAATTTTTTTAATTTTGTAATACTATATAATTAAAATAAAAAAATTTTCATGAATTTGCTTTGATAATCATCAAGAAAACATGGTTTAAAGTTTAGTACCAATAAAAAAGAAGCTGCGGCAAATTTTTTAGACAATAATTATTTCTCAGCAACTACATAAGGCCACACAAAGTTAAATTTTTCGTTTGCATAACCTAGTGTTCCGAAATTCCATTCGGCGGGTCGGATTTTTTTTTAAAAAAAAAAATTTTATTATTATAAATTAATAGATTCACGCTTCATATTTAAGGCCACGCAAGTTAATTTTTCGTTTTGCATAACATGGAAACAGAAAATGTGGAATTTTTATTTTTTTTTTTTTGACAGACCTGTCGGGTTATTCCAGAAAATTATGTTCATTATCGGTGATACCAGATAAATTTACGGAAAAAAAAATTAGCAAAAATGGAATAATTGGGGCAATAGGAACTTAAAAAAAAAATTTTTTTGAAAATTGGGTCGGCGGGTTATGTAAAACGACAAATTAACTTTGCGTGACCTAATCAAGTTTGATAATTTATTTTTTTATTTTGATTCTACAACACGTAGAATTAAAATAAAAAAATTTCACCAAATTTGGTAGAGAAATCTTCGCCTTATAAGAGTGGTCCGGGTTGTAGTACAGGTTGATTTCGGGAACGCACGAAATGGCACTGATCGTGTGCCACGCACAGGCACGCTTTACGAAATGACACGGTAAAAATGGTACAGACATTACGGCAAGAAGTGGCACGTTTTTTCACGTTATACGGAACAGCACGTTCAGATGACACTATGTGTATGTTGCACGTGTTGGCTCGTTTCGCGGAGAGCAAAAGATCAATAAATGATTTTTTTTAAAAAAAGTGCCATATCCTATAATCTCACTGATGAACCTGCTCTGAGTATCTTAACAAAAAAAATTACTTACCGTATAGGCGCGTAATAACGCGCAGGGGCACGTTATTTCGGGACGCGCATGCGCGATAATTCGAATAATTATCCTAATTTTGAAGAAAAAAGTTACAACTACTAAAAGCTTATCTGAGACTATATGTGGGGCGCGTTATCTCGGAACACGCATGGGCATTATTTTGAGTCAAATATGCGATTTTCAAAAAAAAATGGAATTTCGAAATAACGCCCATGTGCGTTATTACGCGCCTATACGGTACAAAATTTTACTTCATGTGCAGTTAGTTTGTTCGTATTATGTTGATTACAAATGTAAATTTTATGTTTTAATCATTATCGCGGTGGTACGCGAATTTACGTACCAATACCCGTGCCAAATCCCGTGCCGATTCGATTAGTAAACTGCTACAAAACCCGAGCCATTTACGGTCCAATTGACACGGGTATACGGTCCCACACGGTCCATCGAATCGTATCAACTCGGACCATACCCGTACAAATCCGGATCTTGGCCCGTGCAACAATGACCCGAAATCAACCTGTACTGATCCGATCAATTTTCTTATAGGGTCGCTTAAAGTTAAAAAAAAGAAATTTTACTACGACTTTTTGGTTTTTTCTGATTTTTAACTTATTTTCAAAGTTTTCTCAACGGCTATCTAACTAAATTCGATAAAAAAAGAAATTTTATTTTGATTCCATTAACTTATAGAATTAAAATAAACAAAAAAAATTCGCTGAAATTAGTTAAATATTCATCAAAAAAACAACTAAATTTTAAAAATATTTCATGGTCGATCATCCTCGATGTAATTCGACCCGGAATTTTGGGGATTCTCTGTAAAAAAAAAAAATAAATGGCCCGGGATGACTTTTTAAAAGGAGTCGGATCGACAATATCAGTTGAGAAACCTAATGAAGGACAAGGCATTATGGGATCACATACTGTATTCAAGTTGTCATTTATGGAATTTGTGTATGGTCTTATAGTAACTTGTTAGATGCAGGTATTTTTCTGGTTAATATAATGATTTCATATCGATATGATTGTGGGAATTGAATTACTATAGCTATCAGAGAACGGGTAACTGTTTATCGTTATATGATAAAACCACTAATTTGGAAACTAAATGGTTTAGTTTAACCGTTTTAACGTCTCTAACAAGATACGCGTCGTGCTAATGCAGTGAGATATGCGAACTATAATTAATTTTTGTATATAAAAACTAGGCACTTGAGTTGTTCAAAGTGAGCTAAAAATAAGTCTTCTATATTGTATTATATTCACTGACATGTTATATATTAATCATACGTATATTTTTTATGCTACGTAGTCAGTGAGTCGGTGAATACAATATTGATAGTTACCTTATGTTCATTATATTTAATGAACTTTTATATCGATAAAGATAAAATATATGAATAATTAAAGGAATACAATGAAATATGAAGTTGAAGTGGCTATAAAATTGTTGACACAGGATTCATGAACTCAAAAAGAATTATGAAGATTATTAATCCAACTAAATTGAAAGAGCGACAATCAAATCTAATTAAATCAAAAATAGTGTTGATAAATTTCTGCATTGGGTTTTGTAATTTACTGCCATAGTGATATATCATGTGGTTAATATTTATTTTTGTAAGAAAATTTGAGCAAAATTTATACACATTATAACAATATAATCTTTATTTATAATAAAAACTAGGCGCTTGAATTGTTTAAAGGGAGTTGGAAATGAGTATGCTACATTGTCACAAATTGTTTTTTATAAACTTACATAGATGAAAAAATTAATATATTTATTAAGTCAAGATTTAATCATTATTATTTTCTTTTTTCTCTGCTAAGTTATTTTTCAATCGGTTGAGGTTGAAAATAACACGTGTCGATTGAAAACCGACGAATTTTGTGATTGATTATTATAAAACCCGATTAATAAACGAAACCGAAAATGCTGATAACAAAAAAATATAGGATATTGGTAGAGATGGGCACGCGCGTAATCCTGCGCGTGATGCGCGGGATGATCCCAAATAAAATTACCTGGTCGGTATTACCATATAGCCTGGCCGATATTAATATAATATCTGGCCTGCATTAACATATTTACCTAAATACTCGAAATAGCGGACATGGGAAGGGTTGTTAATGGTACCAAATGCTCATTTAAAGATTACTTTCATCGGTAACTTACGGTAACTTGCCATAATTTTACAACCATTGACATGGGCGTTATTTCGAATTTTGGCCCGCATTAAGCTTAATTCGGGCCGAGATTCGAAATTTACAGCAGAACAAAAAATTGACTTTCGAAATTTTTTGTTACACAAAATCCCGCGCGGGATTTTCGGGGAAACCGCAATTTGCCAAACTCTAGATATTGGTCATGTAACGATTAATAACATGAAATTTGTTCTGGCAAAACAATTTTATGATATTTATCATCGCATGATCGTGCTTTACAAGTCATTATTGGCTAACTGAGTTTAATTCGATATTGTTGTGCTTATGTAACAACGTACAAAAAATAAGAAAAAAAAACTATAATTAAAAAGTTTGCACGATAATATATAATCAAAATTAAAACAACACCAATCAGATTATGAAATTCGATTTAACCTAAAATATATTCAGAATAGTTTGGAAAGTTTTAATATATAGTAATTTTCTAGTCGATTTTCTATTTAATTAATATATAGTATACATCTTAAATTTGGTTAAAATACATATATTTAACCTTAGCTGCTTAATAAATATTAATAATTGCCAAAAGTTATTTTTAGCTAATAATATCATATGTAGTTTTATGTAAAGATCCTTTTTTGTTAATAAAATATTTGAAAATTTTTGATATAATAGTATTCAGCAAAGCAAATGAACTAGTTAATAATGTTAAAAATGGAATAGTTTCATATTTAACAGTAAATTTGTAATATAAAATCTGTAAATAAAAATATAAATATTTAGCTTGAATTAATATTAAATGCTAAAAGTGTTTAATAATTTATAATACAACAAACCTGTATAACTAACTGAGGAATATTTTTGATAAAAATATTAATTATAGTTCCCCAAAATATCAAACATATAGAAAATCAGAAAATGGTGCATCAAATATTTCAAAGCCAGCAAATCTTGAGGTTAAAAATTCAAATAATGTGATATCCACACTTGAACATATAGTAAAAACTGAAGCAATAGTTTTATATTTTTTAAGCCATTTAATAAATAAAAATTTTTTCTTATTTCGCAAGTTACTAATATTATTGCAGTAACCATATTAAATGCTAGAAAAGCAATTAATATGATAATACTTTTACAATTATAAAAAAGTTTAAACAATTACAGAATTATGGTTAGTATATTTACGCAATACAGCCATGGAACATCTTTTCCATTTATGACAATAAATAATGTAGCCCAACGAAAATAAAAACCATTTGAAAAATCATGAAGTTTTGTCCCTATAAATATACAGTATAATAGTATATTAATGTTAAATTTATACCACTAGGATAAATAAAGGATTTTTGATTTTTATTTTTTTTTTGATAAAAAATCATAAATTTATAAATATATTATTATTAAGCAAATTTCTGATAAAATGATTTCTAATTTTAATAGTATGATGTATATAAATTTCTTTACCTCTGAATTTTTAAAACGGGCCCATAAAGCTATAGCAAATAAAATTATACATCCAATCAATAATCCAAGAAGTTTTAATTTTAACTCATCCCATAAATTTCCTTAATATATTATTAATATTGCAGCATATAATTTAAAATAGATTTATAGACTTTTTTAAAATAAATAACTTACGATTTATTATAAATCCATATGAAGAATCTAAATACTTTGTATAATTATTCATATATATTATCGTATCTTTATCTTTAATTAGTTCCGTAATAGTATTAACAATTTGAGAAACTGAATCTTGATAAAGATCTTTAGTTGGTAAAATTTCAATTTGCAATAAATATTGTGATGGTACTATTCGATTTGTTAGTTGTAATCTTTCGGAATTCATGGGAATACTAATGATAAGTTCTTGTTGAAAGTTGTTTAAAAATTCAGATTGTTTTGTTTGCGAAAGAGAGTCATATAGTCTAGTACCATCTTGAGTTAAGCGTACAACACCTATAGCTTTATCTAAAATATATACATTATATTAAAAAATAATTGCAAAATAATCATAAAAATAGGTATAATACCTGAATATTGTTCTTGTTTTTGTCCTATATAAACCTTTTAGTTACAATTTATTATAATAATTTAAATTTTGTTTAATATATACTCACGCGAAATAGTTTTAAATATCCATTTATTTTCTTTAATACCATAAGTAGGTTCATTTGTTGAGTCAAATTTTACAAAATTGTCATCCATTGCAATCATATAGTTCAAGAAAAAGCAAAAACAAAACACAACTATTGTTATATATGTACTTTCCAAATATTAGCTTTGCAGTATCTAATCAAACTTAATAAATTTTTTTTTTATTTTAATTCTATAAATTTATGAAATTAAAATAAAAAAATTTCATCGAATTTGGCAAAGAATCTTTGGTTGAAGTTTTAATATCTGCAAAAAAAGGCTACAGTAAATTTTTTTCAAACCTTTAAATGAATTTTCTCATTGACTACTTAATTAAGTTCGATAAAAATTTTATTTTAATTTTACAAACATGTGAAATTAAATAAAAAAAAATTCATCAAATTTAGATTACCGTTGAGAATTCTTCACTTAATATTGAAAGAAGTTTTTACTATAGTTTTTTTTGTTAATTTTTAATCTTTTTAAAAAATTTTAAGCGAAGTTTTCTCCACAACTATATAAACAAATTTGATAAAATTTTTTATTTTAATTCTACGTGTTGTACAATTAAATAGTTAAAATTCGTCGAGAAGTATTTGCGCAAATTCATAAAACCCTTTAAAATTTAAAAGGATCTTCCTGACCGACAATATCCCTGACGTATTTCAACCTAAAAATTTCGAGGATCTCCTGTATGAGTTAAGGGAACCCCAAAATGACGTGCTATTAGTCAGGTCACCCTATAGTTAGAGTTGGTTAACTGATTTTATATGTATCAATGATCTACAAGAATATTTTACGGTAATTTAATTGGATGACTATCAGGGCACGAGAATAATTTTACGACAATAATATGACAATTTTCATCGTACAACACTACAGTACCATGTAGTACTAAGATGTAGGGCAATGAACATTATGTTTCACAAGAAGCCATTTAAAGTTTGCTGCTTTCATGAAAATTTTACAGAAAAAATGTCCATAGCGGACACACTACCTCCAGCAATTTTTGCAACAATCAGTAGTATATTAATAATTTTACAAATTATTAAAAATCGTGAAAAGTATTTTGAAACGTCATCAGACGAAGCTCCTGATGATGTAGTTGATTATGCGCGCTTCTCAACGGTAAAAAGGGACGTCGCCAGACTTGGGATCACGATATTGCAGACTGGATTGTTTAGTTTTTTATTCTTTTGGAGATTGAAGCATGGAAATAATCCAAATTTTGATACGATAAGCCCCGGGATTCTTGCAATTTGTTGGGTAAATCTATTAATATTTTTTTATTATTTCAATTTAGCTTTCTTTATTGTCTGATATCGTTTACTTCCTTCGATCCGAAAGTTTTATGCGCTTACAATATCAATTATTGCCTTGTCACTGAAATCGAGACGTTTGAGATGGACATTAAATGCATATTTGGCTGTATTTTTTTTTATCTCCTCTCTATGCTTACTTTGGAAATCTACAAAAGTTATAAAATTAAGCGGTTCTTATCGCGTAGACAAAATAATTGAAAAATTAATTGTAATATGTAACTTTGTTTTATCTGTGGTGGCTACATCGATTGCTATCACAACACCAATGAGTCCACCAATACTTCAAAATGGAAGAGTTGTTTGTGCAATCGAGTATTGCTCAATATGGGACTTTATTACCTTCTCCACTGTTTCTAAATTAATTTTCAAAGCTTACAAACAAAAGACTTTCAATAATGATGATCTTGACTTGCTTCCATTTGCTTATCAAGCTAAGTCATTATATAATGCTTTCAAAAAAACCAAAAGTAAACTTTTGTACCGAATATTGGTGGTTAATAAAGGTGTTATAGGCTTACAGCTTTTATTCACAATGATGGGTGCTGCTTTATATTATGCACCAATGATTTTCTTATACCGTTTTCTATCATTTATTCAAACGAGACCTGAAAATGGGTCTTTGGAACTTGGATTTGTATATGTATTTGGAATGCTTATTTCATATATTATGCTACATTTTACTCTAGAACAGAATCGGTATTGGGCCGCAAATGTACTTAATATTAGCGTAAAGGGGATGATTAATTCCGAAATCTATTCAAAAAGTTTAAGACGAATTAATTCACATGTTTCAACTGTGAAAGATAAATGTAATAAATCTAGGGATAGCTTCAACGATGATAATTCGTCTATTGGCAAGGTTACAAATCTTATGTCAATTGATACAAATCGTGTTAGTGAATTCTCTGAATGGTGGACAAGTACAATTGATAGTCCGATAGAATTAGTAGTTGGTGTTTATTTTTTATATCAATTAATGGGTGTGTCTTGTTTGCTCGGTTTGTTGGTTATGATCATTACACTTCCAATTAATCATCAGATGGCCAAGTTATATGCAAAAACTCAAGACGAGCTTATGAATGCTAGAGATCGTAGAGTGGGACTTATGAATGAAGTAAGTCTTATAATGTAATATATTACCAACATATTCCTTTTGTATACTTATTCTGTTTCCAAATGAAAGGTTTTACAAAGTATTCGTATGATTAAATTCTTATCCTGGGAAAAAAATTGGGAAAATAAAGTATTGGGTGCATATTGCTTTCCTTGTTTCCGCGTGATCTGTAAAACTTACACATTTTGAAAGTTATGCTTTTTATTTGTAGAAATTCGGAAAATTGAGCTTGAACAACTTCGAAATAACTTTATTTATTTGTCCATAATTGATTTATTGTGGATGGCTTCACCTATCTTAGTCACTATCCTCAGTTTTTTCTTCTTCACCAAAATTCAAGGAAATGAGCTTACAGCTGCCATTGCTTTTACTTCAATAGCTGTTTTCAATGAGCTTCGATTTGCCCTTAATACTTTGCCCGAAGCTTTCATGGATGCACTTCAAGCATTGGTCAGCATTCGTAGAATAGAAAAATTTTTAGATGAAGATGAGATCGATACTTCTCCAGAAAATAATTCATTTATGAAATCAATTTATTTTGAAAAAGCAACTGTTTCATGGAATAAAATTAAGGAAAACAGTAATGAGTTTATTATGCAAGATTTGGATTTGGAATTTCCTGTGGGAGAATTAAGTATCATTTGTAAGTTTACCATTGTTTAAAAAATATTCTTTCATGTTATATTATAAATAATTTGCTTACATGTTCTTAGGTGGGCCAGCCGGATCTGGGAAGGTTGAGTATAATACGTCTGCAAATATGTATATTTTATAATATTTCTAATAAATTAATATTTATATAATGCACGTTTATTAAAGACATTATTATTAATGTCACTTCTTGGAGGTAAATAAATTCAATTCTGCATGCGTACTCTTTTTCTAGTAAGTTGATCAAAAATATTTTGATACCTTTACCAACAGAAACGAATATCATTAGTGGCAAGATTAATAGTCCACATTGTTTAACAAATCCCATTGATAAAAATATCAATGAAAACAATTGGATTCTTCCGAATTGTACTGCTTATGTTGCACAGCAAACATGGCTTCAAAATGCTTCTATTCGAGATAATGTTCTTTTTGGTCTTCCCTATAATGAAAATCGTTATAATCAAGTTATAAAAATATGCGCACTAGAAAAAGATTTTCAAATACTTGAAGACGGAGACATGACGGAGATTGGTGAAAAAGGAATTACGCTAAGTGGTGGTCAGAAAATGCGTGTCGCTTTAGCAAGGTAAACTTAATTATTGTATAATTTTTAAGTTTTAATTAACTATTATTGAGCTTGAAGTTAAATTGTAAATTTTATAGAGCTGTCTATTCACGAGCAAAACATATATACATTGATGACGCTTTCAGTGCTGTTGATGTGCATACTGCTTGGCAATTGATGAATAAATGTCTATTAGGTCCTATTATGACGGGACGTACTCGAATTCTTGTAACAAATCATATCAGACTATGTTTGGCTGGTGCCACTTATTTGGTATTGAATAAACAATCTGTGAAAAAGTACATTTAATAATTATTTAATATTTTACTCATTACGGCCAGATTATTCTTATAGGTTGCCGTCGATAATGGAAAAATTATTACATCTGGTGTGATTTCAGAATTACGTAATTCAGGAAAATTGGCTTCGATCTCTGATAAGAATGGTAGTTAATCAAAATTAGTGAATTCCATTGATTAGCCATAGAAAAATTTTGTTTGCATCAATAAAGTCACTGAACAGTTAATCTCATCTTCAGCCAATTTTGATCACAGTACTGATTCATCAACTACTTCAAATGCAACTCTTATCGAGGACGCCACTCAGGTGGATGACTCACAACAAATAAAAAAAGTCTCCAAAGCAAGAGTTCTTATCAAAGAAGAAGGTGTGTTTTACCATTTATTTGGTGATTCAGTTTCCGAAAAGCTTATGTTAATCCTGATTATAATTAATTATTAGTACGACCAACTGGCGTGGTTAAGTTTAAGATTTACAGGTCATATTTTCGCGCAAATGGAAATATACTTTATTGGTTTATTGCTGCAGCAATATTTATTGGGGCTAGAGGAATACAGATAATAGAAAATTGGTGGCTTCAAGTTTGGTCAAATGCCAACAATAATAACGCGACAGTTCCAACAATTTTCAACTTGGTTCAACAAGATAATTTAGTCATAATTCATAAGTCACATAGCGTTGACTACTATTTAAATATATACGTATTAATTGCATTCCTATCTATTATTACCGGTGTTTCGCGTTTTGTTTGGCTTTTTTATGGATCTTTGAGAGCGTCTAAAAAACTTTATCAAATACTACTTCATCAAATTATTCGCGCCCCATTAAGATTTTTTGATACGACCCCAATTGGGAGAATTCTTAATAGGTTCAGTAAGGATTTTGAAACAATTGATAGCACATTAGCAGGTGATTTATCTTAGTGTTATGATCATAATTATTTTTATGACTCCTCCTTATATTCTCTAAATATTTTATTCTAGGCGAACTTGCATGGTTTTTGATCAATGTAAATAAATTTCGTTTGTCTTACTTTGTGAATAGTACATATACCTCTGATTATAACGCCACTGTCCAAGACAATAAAAATTTTAATGCATTTGTATCCAAATGTAGTTATATCCGGAGGGATGTATAATTTTATAGCTTACCCAATATAATTTTTTTTAGGTACTCATGACTTTAAGTACTATGGCTGTTATAACGGTCATTACAAAAGGTATTGAAGTTTTTTCAATCATGTTCTCTAAATACATAATCATTAAATCTAAAATTGTGACCATAATTAATAGAGTTTCTCGTTGCGGCAATCTTCTTTGGTAAACCTGCCATTTTTGTTAATCCTGATCTTGCGATAACGAAGAATACAAACTTTTTATCTTTTTTTAATTTACTTTAACCAGGTATTATTTATACAATTGTTGGTACACTATACGCAAAGGCATCACGAGAGCTCAAGAGAATGGGTTCTGTGTCAAGATCCCCATTATATTCTCACTTCACCGAAACTTTAATGTTAGTGTTAGAATCATATTTTAAATTGAACTTTTTTCTTTATTCAATTTAATAATGTTGGTGTCGTTTATAGTGGCATAACAACAATTAGAGCTTTCGGTGCATCGAAACGCTTTATGCAAGATATGCTATTAAAGTTTGTAAATTGATTTATTAAGCCTTTTCACGTGCTTTGCATTTAATTAATATATTGTCTGTCATTTTCTATCACAGAATAGATAACAACAGTCGCCCATTATTTTATATGTGGTTAATAAATCGCTGGCTTTCATTCCGTTTCAATATCACTAGTTCATTTGCTTCATTTT